TTTTGCCTTTTTCATTAATTCTTGTCGGTAATTTATTGTCCGTATTACCGGGTATTTGTCGGTTATGATGTAACAGTTCTACCTATTCGACGAGTTTTTTCCTTCACATTTTTGTCTTCACTTCTGACTTTTACGCTTTCTCATCCCATTTCATTTTTAGGCAAAGAAACACTGAAGGCCCCGCAGCTTCAATCGCTGAACGACCCGCAGCTTCAACAGATCGACGAGGAGGTCGTGAACGAGGAGGACATGAACGAGGAGGACGTGGACGAGGAGGACCTGAACGAGGAGGACGTGGACGAGGAGGACATGAACGAGGAGGACGTGGACGAGGAGGACATGAACGAGGAGGACGTGGACGAGGAGGACCTGAACGAGGAGGACGTGGACGAGGAGGACGTGGACCAGAAGCGGCCACTGCTGTCGTGAGCCGACGTCCGTTATCGTCTCCGGGGAAACTATGCCAGAGGAAACTCCCTCCAACTACTCTCACTATTTGATAGACCGTCACCAGTGGGCTCAATACGTTAAGCCACGGCAGCTGCATTTACATGAACTAATTGCACAGCAGGTGACCAATGAACTGCCTGAAGACGTTTATCGTTTCGTTCCCAACGCGGGTTACTTGTCGTTGAAGTTCGCCCGGTCGCTCTTTCCACAAGCCGCTCCTAGCGACGGCATCGTCAAAACGACTATCCCGTTCATAGAGCTGCCCTCACTAGAGGATGCGGTTGTTTTCCGCAGCAACAGCGCAGCCGTCATTCACGCAACCTTCAAGGGTGAAATCCAACCTGCCCCGTCGGTTCCTGAAGGCTTGCAAGCAGCAAAAGGCGAGTGGGCTTCCACTATAGCGCCTCGGTACATTGACGGAATCCGTCCTGTGCTCTACCAACTAGTCGCTATAAAATCGAATTGTCTCGTATTGGAAGCTAAAGATTTTTCATTTTTATGCCAGATCGTCGCGAGCTTCATTGCATTTTGCTCGATAAGATCGCTTTCAATGTCGAGAGCAACAGATATGGATACGACAGGGCCCTAGTCTCTGTAAAAGATTTCATATGGGTCTACGATGTGATGCCCGTCGCTGCTGCCTTGACGTCTCCTTCAACCGAACTTGAGCGAGCTCGCATTCCGCGCACAGCTGCCTTGGACACCAACACGGCGTTCTTCTTCCGTGTGGCTCGATTTGCGTTCGTAACCCCACCTGTTTGGAGTGAACCCCATTACGGAATTGTGGTGGCTGTTCGTGCGCAGAGAAAATCACGTCAATAGTTTCCGAATGGCTGTTCGAAAGCATTCCTGAGGCTGTCACCATCACTCGCACTATCTGCCAGTTCGATGGCCCAACGTCGAAGAATATGAAATACTGAAAGCCTTTTGCCGCAGGAACACCTCCTGTGCCGTTAGCTTCTCTGAGCCGCCAGTTTCACGAGTGGCGCAAGACACTCTGTGCTCTTTCGTGAAGCACTTCTTACCGGCCAACCCTGACGAAGCCATTGTGCCATTGGAAGTGCACAAGATCACATCTAAAGAGGAACGCTGGTTTGCAGATCGCCTCAGAACATTCGACAACCTCGCCGCTGATCGGCAGGACTCCACCACGAGGATGGGACAGATCTTCAATGGTGCTTCCTCAGCGCTGGTTGCATATGTGTCTATGGGTGAAGACAGGGAGACGCGTCGCATTACAGCGACCGCTCCCAGCTTGACCGCTTATCCTTTACGCATTGAAATCATACTGTCCCACATGTATACCGAAGCAGGCTGGTCGCGCCACCGTCCTGTCTCCGTTTGGGTCATGGGCGCATTCTTCTTTGTTCAAATGGTTGTCGAAGAGAATCACAGCGAATTGGGAACGTCGTGAACTTTGTGTCACGCTGCAGACCTATCCTTGGTCTCACAGCAACCTTGAACGAGCCATTTCCACGATAGGACGGATCACTGACAATACAGCGTTCTTGGATGTTTGCGTGAAGCTGGCTAAGTTAGCTCCCAGCGCAATCCCGGCTTACGAAACAGTAACTCGCATGCAGCTATTTTCGGACATATCTCCGGATTGCACTGCCTACAAAGTTATGGACGCTGTTTACGCCGTACACCAGTTGGGCTGCCTTAGCGAGCAACAGCAGCATCTGTGGCCCCTTGGCTTCTGTGATGGATGATCAGCAAGTATTTATCCGTGGACGTGCCACCAATCTGACGGTGGACCAGCGCCAAGCATTAGCGATCGGGAACGCTGATATCCCTATATTGGTATTCAAGCGGCCTTCGGAACCGGAAAGACCGTAGTGGGTGCTCTGATCGCCGCTCAGAAAGCTTCAACTGATAGGTGTGTCATCGTAACTGCTACGACGAACACTGCTGTGGCCCAGTTCACAGGACACGATCCTGTCACTAGACGCGTTTTGCCTCTCTAGATGGCCAGATATATCGCCGAAACAGTGTCATTCGACGAGGCAGTACCATCAACTCCAGTTGACCTTCATGAGATCCTCAAAGGCCTGGTGGAGATATGCGATCGAATGTCTGAGGAAGAAGCCAGTAAATGCCTTCGCTTCTGCAACGGCCGTACGCGGTACGAGGAGTTCATGCGAGATCGAGATCGTCCATGAACCTCTCGGACAAGAGAGGAGGAATCATTTAGCAGAGAGCGAACGTGCCGAACTCGTTGATGATGTCTGGAACTTCCTCTCCACTCGCCCTCCACAAATCATAGCTATCACAACATCATCCATTAGCTAACGCTACGGAATTATGGATCTCGCAGTATCTCTACCAACCTTACACTCTCTTATCATTACGACGAAGCCTCGCCAAGTACCGGAACCAGTTATTTGCAGCCATTATGCCGTACTCGCCCATGCACTCCATATCTTACCATTGCGGATTGTTCACCAGCGTAGAGCGTATGCCCGGTTCTCACACAGTCAAACTCCCAGTCAAGTTCCGGAGCCTGCAGCACGATGATTCCTCACCTCGCGCTCGCCGTTCCTGTGCACCATTAATCACCACCGTTAGGCCCGATTCCGAACTGACGGCCTGCCCAAACCGCCTTGCCCACGAGGGGAGTCTCCGTAGGGTCGACGACCAGCAGAGCAACTCCCCTGTGCCTAGATATCAGCCTTCTCCGAACAAGGATCTGCTCCTCATCTTTGTGGATGTCGTAGGCACGTCGCAGAGGGCCCAAAATCACTCTTCCTTCAACGAAGCGGAGGCCGCCGTGTGCACGAGATTGATAGGCCACTTATGAAACGCGGGATAACGGCGTCGAACATCTGTATCATCACGTTCTATAAGGAGCAGCATCGCCGTCTCGCGATTTCGCAATAGAACGGAACGAGTGTGCGCCACGCGTAGAGCTTCCAGACCGTCGCATAGAAAGGACGTCGTTGCTTCTCCTCACCACGATAGATGATTTCATCCCACGCTTCCGAGTTTCCTGAGAGTGACCCTCCCTATGAATGTCCGCGCTTACTACGCTGCCGACATGCGTCATTTTCTTGGTCACCAAAATTCCCTTCTCAAGGTGCCCCACTAGAATACTGTCATCGCATGAGCTCAAGCGAATAATGTAGTTCTCCCAGCAATGGTTTTAGACAATTATCTGTCGCCTGCATAGAGTAAGTACTCAATGTGTTCCGCACGATTTCATCGCAGAAGTGTTGTTTTTTCAGTTAATGTGATGCCATCTAAGCAGCTCCAGGGACGCGTTGGAAAATCGGCTCACCAGATCGAGCCAGTTGATCAACTACCTCATATACGACGTTGAATTGTGCTTACATACATCCAGTTAATTCGAATCTATTAAGTATTTGTGTTAAAATCTGTTGTTGCGCCTATTGTTTACATAACCTCAAGATACCACATACTAGTTGTTTGTACATCATACACATACAATAGCATACTACACTTGCCATACTTACACGTCGAAGAATCCTTGGAGGTAGCGTAGGCGCTGCGTTCTTGAACTAAACGTGGAGGTGGCTGTGTTTCTTGTGAGATATTATCATTGTGGAACGATTGTGGTAATGTCTCTGTCCACCATCGAACAAGATGGCAGTTGCCTCGAGTTGAAATATCCCACGAGTAACCCATCCTATGCCATGTCCAAATGCCACGCCTACCCCGACTCAGGATAAGGATATACCATACTGACACAAGCAACAGCCAACACACAAATTAGGGAGTTGACTTTAAAGTGATGACTTATAAAAATAGAAGGACTTTGTTGGAGTCGCAGTGCCCACACAGAGAGTTTCTATCATAGCAGCTCACATCGAACTACAACATTTTCTCACCGCTTTTGCAGAGCAAACGCCCTCACGTTCCTTGTGGACAGCACATCAGTAATGGCCAGCGGTGCGTTGTGTCCGAGCTTGCAGGAGACACCATAAGGAACATGTGATGTGCAAGTCAACTTGAAGGTTACCTAAGCCGGATCTCGCTTTCTTAAGATCAAGTTGAACAATGAAGAACAAAATTAGCGGGCCGTGTTGGTAAACCCCTTGGTTGATAGAAAGAATGTTGGGCCCTTAGGCAACATTCATTCAATCTAGTGCCTGGAGATACGCAACTAAATGAAACAAGCTCAATCCGTTCCTTTTTCAGATTCGCCTACGAAACAACGCCTCTCAGACCTAAACGAGGGAACCTGTCCCAGTGTAAACGTTGGGCCGACGTTACTTAACAATTTGTATAAACATGTTCGAAATGTTCACTTCTGGGGAGAGCAGGAAGTCGCGCGATTGCAGCTTTCTTTCAAAAGCAGTAGTAGGTCAACGACTGAATTTCCATGTGGAGAGTGTGGTCGAATATTCCATTGGAAAAAGAGGGTTGGCACGACACAACAAGGCAAGCTAAGATCGATATTTACTCACAGTGCTCTGGTCAACCAAACATCACTGGTTTCACGCGATTGATTTCGAGTTTAGCAAGCAAGTAATGTGCATAACGTCAACACAAGTGGCGGTCATGTTGCGTGCCCTGTCTGCGAGCACACATTTACATCGAACAGCCTCTTTGCCGTTCATTGTCCCGAAAAACACAGCCAGGAGGTTCCTGATCAAGACTTTACCGTGATAAGCGGTTATCTGCAGAATTGGGAAACCTTTCAGGTGAGTAGGAAAGACCTTGTGGGTATGCAAGAGAACAGAGCTAGCAACATTAGACCTCATGTTACAGGACTGGAAACATGCGAAGGAGCTTGCAGCTTCAACTCATTTCGTAATACGGAACTCTTTTGAATTACCATATCGAAGAACGGTTAAGTATGTGTGCCAGCATGCTAGGGGTACAGGAAGAAGTGTCGACGTCCTGGCTTTACGTAAGCGATACAGAATACCGAGACGGATTCACAGCCACTGTTCGGCTTTTCTAAATGTACTGTTAATTATTTGTTCTCCATTTCTTTACTAGATTGACGTTTTCCATCTAGGCATCTCTGTTGGCCGACGGCAGCGTCGACTACTGCGGATGCTTTGGACATATTGGGCATGTTGTGACCACCGCCACTCTTCCACTCCCTCCGGAAGATAAAAGTATTATAATAGAAATGCTAAAATCCGGTGTCCCGCCTCTATAGTACGTACTTCGTTTACCACCGCTACAATAGATTTCGAAACTGGCTTTGCAGATACTCACGAAAATTCGGTCAGACAGGTGGGATCCTCTGCTAGAATATAATATGCAGCCGCGTATATGCTACTTCTGCTTGGAAGATACCAAGTGCGTTCGCATTACCTATGTTCTTACCCATATCCTCTCCCTGAAAGATATCAAGTGCGTTCGCATTACCTATGTTCCTTACCCATATATTTCTTATATACTTAAATGCGAGTTTAGGTACATTGCTCAAAAGAAAGGCCTCGTGGAAGGAAGAATGCACGACAACGATCTGTTGTCACTGGATGACCTTTTGAACGCGTCACCGGATATAATAGATTACAGTTATAGAAAAACCACTGATTGCACGGGCGATGGTTTCGTTCTAGGTAACACTGCTACTATGGGGAACTAAGGATAAGGGTTTCAACGATATTGACTGTTGTAGCCTTATTGACTAGAAGCGGCAAGAAATTTTTGGAAAGATTCGCGTGCAATGGACTGGTATTCGATGACACTTTCGACGTGACACGCTATTCTTTTCGCCTAGCCTCCCTACTTGTTGCGACTGCTAGCGGGAGAGGGTTTCCCTGCTGCTCTTTGATTTCTTATCGCATGACGTCGGAAGAAGTATCCGTGCTGTTTGCCTTAATCAAGGTTGGTCAGAAGCATGTCATTGATAGTTCGGCT